TTGTCATTGGGGTGGTTTTTTTACGTTGCGGGTCCCAAACCCAGCGCACAACCCTATGCAGGGAATGTTTCGCCTTCTCACTTTAGCTCGCCTTCAAACGGATGTTCTTAGGCTACCCAGTGGATACTTGGTCAAGGACGGGAAGTCGTGAGCTGCTTGAGTCATATCTAAAAGAACCTTTTCTGGCCACTCCCAAGTGAATGGCGATCAGAAAACTTTCCGCACTTGCGTGAACTTCTACACATGACTCCATCCTCCATTTAACGTTTTTAGACAAACCAATTTCATTGATAAAAAAAAAAGAAAAAATTTAATTTTGATTTCAACTACTAAATTACGTGAACAAAACAATTGCAACTCTGAGTTTGAGTTCAAGTAACACTATTATAGCTGTGTTTTTCCGTTATTATTGAGCTTTCGCATTGAAAATTACGCAATATCGTTAATTTTTATGAATAAATTCTTGTGATAATTCGGGCAAATCAACGTGATTTTTGTTTTATTCAAAATGGAAAGAGACAAATATGAAATAGAACTTCGAAAGAAAATTATTTCCGATTTTAAGAAAGAAATGGCACATAAGAGCATTTCTACAAATTATGAAATGCACAAAAGTACAATTGCGCGAACAATAAAAAAGAAGCTTCTGTTAATCTCCGAGGAGGTCGCGAACGCAAAAGGAGCCAAAGAATAGACAACTTAATAGTACAACTAGTGAAAAGATACTGATATTGCCCCATCACAAATCATTAAAGATTTAGACTTAAAAATATTCACAAGAAGTGTGCGTAGGCACCTCTTAAAAGCTTAAGTAAGAGGTTGTCGTCCCGCATACAGACCGATGGTTTCAATAAGAAACAAAGCCAAGCGTTGGCATATTAGTAAATGGAAAACCGTATTGAAAACTTGTAGGGGCTAGTTAACAGGCGCATAGACAGGAACAAAGATAAATGGAGATGAACTTTTTAATAGACTCCACAAAGCTTGACAATCGATTCCGATGAAAACCATAGATCATTTAATTGCCTCAATGCCGAGAAGATGTGTTTTTGTATTGGCGTTTGGGCTGATATGAGCCATAAATTTTTGATAAGGGCTAGTTTTTGTCTCTTAACTTTTTTACGAAAAAGAGCATTACATTTCTTATAGTTGAGCAGGTTATGTAAGGTCAAGTTATTTTTTAGACCATGCCAGTATTTCATTTTCTTGTTTCTAAGTTCTTGCAGCTCTTTTATCCACCAACAGGAATTACATCTCTTCTTGTTGGGTTTAGATTACGGAATACTCACATTGCCTGCTAGCCTAACAGCGTCTGTTTATTAATGTTATCAGTATGCGGATATTGATCTTCTTTTATTTCTAATCATTAGAAAAGAGAGGCCAGTTTGCGTTTGTCCTTTTGAATCTATGGTTTTTCCTATAATTGAGTATTATGATCACTACCGGACATATCACAATTTATCTCTTTCGATAAAAACAAAAACTACATGCTACATGGGATAATGCTGAAATGTCAATAGCAGATAAAGTGTAGTGAGTGGAATAGTGAATATATTTGCGGTTGTTAAGAATACACAGATTATTTTGTAGTATGAAACTTTCAAACATTATTCTTCTGGAGTTGGTATCGCAAAATATTAAATTGTTCGCAAAATTAGTATCAGTATTCAACTTATTGGGAGAAATTTTTATAATTGATGGTAGGTAAATACTGTATATTTAAATTTATAGACTGAGACTTTCGCTTGGGTAGAAGCTATTTGAATTTTTGAATTAGTGGCGTTTGCACTGATTATTTTTCATGTTCGTATTGTGAAGATAAATATTATACCCTTTTGGACATTTTGTTGTTATCAATGCCACATTGATATGCTTTTCTTGCAATGCTATGATATGAGGTGGGAATTCCGCTACGAATATCTCCAAATTATTGCAATTGCTCCAATAACCTATGATATTCCACTGAAAAACTTTCATTACAAAAAATGAACGGAGATATGAGTATAGTAATTCAGTATAAGAATCTGTTATTGTATTTTACTGGTCATTCTAGTGAAGTTGAGAAAGAATCTCATTGGTGTTTGTAGCCTTATTATTCTGTTACACATAATTGTTTTCGGTAAAATTGCTGCATTATAGTTGGTTCGGTTTCTTCCTGAAAATTTAATGATCTGGGTATTGTTGTGGAGCCAGTAGGAGTTACAATAAAGTTATTATTGGGAGGATTTTGTTATTTTAATTGCTGGGATGAGTGGTAATGTTATGATAAATTTTCATTGGTAGATTAAACTCTGAGTATTTTAATTAATTTATATAAGGTTTGTGTTTTATAGTTGTATCGTCAGCAATAGATTTTGGTATAGTCATTGATTTTGTTTTGCAGAGTTTCGTTACTTTTGATTGTTGTTGTTGCTGTGATTATTTCTTCTTCTGGTTAGTTCCAGTGATTCTATTGGGGTTTTCTTTGTGAAGTAGTCTGATGAACAATTGTTACTGCTTCTTGACCTGACATTCTGTTTATTGTAGAATATTTAAGGATTTCTTAATTTTTAAAATAAGTTGGGCATTTTTTATACTTTACTGAGAATTACAGTTAATACATTTAATTTAAGTACACTTTATTACCTCTGAGTGCTGGGGGCAAGGCTCATGTGCCACAAACGGGAGTGTTGGTACAYCTGTCTTTTGTATGACCGAGGTTTAAGAATATAAGGTTTGATTTGAATAGTTTTAGGGCCAATTTTTAAGTATTTAGGGAGCTGGTATAAGTCTAATAATAAGATATGCAAAGGAGTATTTACATATCCATTATTTGTTTTTTTTTTTTTTATATTTTATTAACTTTGATTACATTTTGATCCATAAGTTGTTATTTTATTTTTTTTCTGAAAGGTTTGTTAAAGCTGCAGAAAATATCACTCCTTTCGCCGTATTAAGTTTGGTATGATATTCACAGATAATTCAATTTCGAATATATTCGTTTCGTTTAGCGCTTTTGTTATGAGAAAAATATTGTATGTGTTGTTTACTTTTTTTATTCTCCATTTATGTAAAAACTTTGTTGCATAATATCAAATGCAATTATACGTACTTTCAGAAAAGAGGAAAGCATAACATTGTCCAGTTTGATGAGTTAACTGTAATTTTAAAAGTGAACGACAAAGATGAGATCATATTCAGTTTGCAAAACGCCACACTAGTTATATAGCATTTTTTTCCATTAGGGGGTATTTTACTGTAGAATTTTGAAAAATTCGATTTTATCCATATATTTAAAGTTTAGACCCTTAAGAACATATCCTCCAAAGGATTTTTAAAAATTAAAATTATTTTAAGAGCTACAGTTACTTTAGTGACGCAGTACCTAGCCCGGTAGGTAGGTAGACTCACTTTTTTAAACGCGTTYTTCTCGAAACTACTTTTTTCCACACGGTAYCGGCATTATCTCAAGTTCTATACAACCGATTTACTTGAAATTTTGTGTGAACCTGCTTTACATAATCCTTTATCTTTATATAATCCCTCGTTTTTAATATTTAAAAAAAATTCATGAATTTCAAAAAAAAAGCGTAAAAAATTATTTTCATTTTCAAGCAGTCGCCATTTAAAAAAAAAAATCGTGTTCTCTGAAATAGGGGTTATAACAGCATCCCTACTGATTAAGAATTCCTTGATTTTTTTTTTCAGACCACCAGGAGAGTCAGATCAATGTCACCAGGGTGCGCCCCCCTCTAATTATTTTAATTTTTAATATTTTTTTCTGTATTCTTAAGATATCAATAAAAACACCATAAAAAATGGATATTAAGAATATTTTTGGTTTTTTTTTMAAAAAACTGTCCAAAACATGATTTCTAGAGTAGAATACCCCCTTAACTAACTTAAAAAAATATTTTTTTTTTAAGTTAGATATTTTCATTATATGTCAAGACCACCCTCGGCAACAAGGCCGATTGGAGCGACTCCGCTCTCGAGCTACTACTCAGGGATAGCTCGATCAGGTGGTACACCGACGGCTCGAAAACTTCGGAGGGAATTGGTGCAGGGGTCGCAGGACCACGTGCAAAACTCTCCATGCCTATAGGAAGGTTTCCGAGCATATTCCAAGCGGAGGTATTTGCTATAAGTCGGTGCGTAGAGCTAAACCTCCATCGCGGCTATCGCAACGAACGTAAGCGATAGCCAAGCGGCACTCAGGGCGATCTCATCATACGAGGTAAAATCGCTATTGGTGCAGGAGTGTATAGATCGGCTGAATAGTCTGGCAGAATGCAACCAAGTGCACCACAAAGGCACTGCTGGAAACGAACTGGCCGATGAGCTTGCCCGCGCTGCAGGATCCACCAACATGGTAGGGCCAAAACCCTTCATAGCGGTAGGTCYCMACACCATAAAGGAACAGTTCCGCAARGATGCAGCAGTGGGTAGGGAGATACATTGGCAACAACTTCCTGGCTTGCRTCACGCAAAGCTGCTAATGAAGGGTTACAACCTCAAGTGGTTTTACACCGGCCATTGCAAACTCAAGAAGCACTTTTTTAACATGGGCCTAGCTTCTTGCGCAAATTGCCGGTTCTGCAACTGGGAATCCGAAACTCCAGAACACCTGCTAATGGATTGCCCAGCAATCTGCAGACGCAGGATTAAGGACCTTGGATCCATGTTTCTAAATAGGGATCACATCGCCTCATTAGCACCTAGSAGRATATTGGAATTCATCAATTTGCTGGGGCTAAGTGAGACGCTGTGAGTTAGTAGTGGGCACAATAGACCCTAGGTCGCGGTGCAATCCGCATTCTTTATCTTATCTTATCTTATCTTCATTATATGTTTTGGTCCTCGGTTTTTGCAATATTTATGATTGTTTTTTTTTTTTTTTTGGTTTTTACATTATTTGGATTCTTATAGAGTGAATAATAAAAATATATTTTAGTTGAATTTAAATCAAATTTATATTTTTTAGACCATAAAATTAGTAATAATCATAAATAAAAACTTACCTTTTAGATGCATAAATACCATTTTGCGCTTTTCGGTAAGAGTTTTCTTTAGAAGTGGTTCACGTTTATCTTTAGGGATATTCATATCTTCTAGAATTTCCAAAAACTTCAAGTCTATTTCACTGTCATCCATCGTTCGAATATCATTTTCCAGAGCCTGAAGGTCAATACTTTCATTGTTATCAAACATATTTGATTTTATGGGCATAGTTGAATTATTGCTGGTGTTTTTTATCTTTTGACGGCTGAACCATCCCTCAAACCAACCATCCGTTGTTCCTGTTCTTACTTTTTCTTGCTTTGACATATTTATTATTACCTAAAAAAAAAAAAAAAGAAAAAAAATTAAATAACTTGACGTGCTTACTTTAATATATTTTTGATAAGTAGCAATATAATTTTTTCAAATTTCTATAATGCTATCAAAATATGTGAACAAATGTGAAAAGCAAAGGTTATTATTTATAATGCTGCTTTTTGATTTTTACGTTTTTTATTCGACTAATTGATATACCCCAGCGAAATAAATATAAAGGAAACCACATTTTCTTCAATGAACAAACATAGGACATAATTATATTAAAATTTGTCTTGCARATTTACTTTTAATGCTTTTAATTATAAAGCAACCAATGTTCTGTCCCAAAGGATCCTTGGTYTAAAACCGGAAGTCGTGAGTTGCTTGAGCCATATGTAAAAGAATCGTTTCTGACCAGTCCCATTTGAGAGGCAATCAAAGAAGTTTCCTAACTTGTGTGAACTTCTACACATGACTCCATCCTCCAGAGCACCTATGAGAGCTAGCCCCAGCTAACTCCAGGGTGGACAAAGAAGGTATCTTTGGCACAAAGGTCGGTAAATTCACTCTAGATGATGAAAAGAGTGCAAAGTGCTGAATCTCAGTGAAAGCATAACGTCAGGAGAACGCAAATCCGATTCAACAATCGATGGGGAAATCAATAACTGACCAGATATTCAACACACGCCATATTTTGGATTAATCGATACAGTGATTGAATAGGAAGTTTTATATATGTAATAACATCCATTAAATAGTGGAGAAATACTGTTATTTTTGAGGTTTCTAATGTGATGTCGTTTACACATTGAAAAGGTCCCTTATTGCATATGACATAATGACTATTTTCGAAGATATTACAGATTTAAAAATTGCGAGAAGTAGCGTTTGCGGCGGTACAGAGCGGCCGGCAGGAACGTGTCTATAATTAGCGCGTTGTTGTTGTAACGGCAGAATTCTGCCGAGTTGACAGTCCTTGGCCGGATAAAAATCCGGGTCCGTTCCGGTTTTCGTAGACCCGACTGTCGTGGAAACGGATAATTAGCGCGTCGAAGGCCGCGGTTCTTCCTATAACACTTTGAATATAGCAGCGACCGGACAGAAGATGCAAAAATGGAAAAAGGACACATGAAATGGTTTCCAAAACAACGAGCAAAGAACTATCACTACTGATATGCTCAAGGTAAAGGCCAAATTTTTCCAAGCAAAAATACGGGAAATGCCGGGTGACTTTCGTGCTAGCAATGAGTGGATCACAAATTTTAAAAACATAGGTATATATAATACGAAAACTGAAAATATGTGGCGAAAAACTTTCGAATAATACTCATTCAGTTAACCCATTTTTGCAAAACTTAAACAAAAACAATTACTGATTTAGGTTTGAACAAGGAGCAGATTTACAATGCCGATGAGTCTGGCCTCTTTTGGAAGCATTTACCTGATAGAACTATTGTACGCTCAAAAGAAACCTCGCCTGCGGGACATAAAATCAGTAAATAACTTTCTTGTTTGTACGAATGTGTCTGGTAATCATAGAATCCACACTCACTTAAAAATTTTACGGATTTGCCTGTTGTCTACAAAGAAAATAAAAGTGAATTCATGACCTTGGCTTCATTTGAAGAATGGTTTCACAAAACATTTGTTTTGCTTAAAAAAATTATCTTAGCAATTTAAAATTTCATAAAACTGCTGGTAAAAACGTTTCTCCGTGGCAAAAATCTTACAGAAAAGGCTTTTTATACTCTCGCAACAA